CCAAATTAAAAAAGAGACTGCAGAATATTATTGGTCACACAGTATTCAGTAAAGTTAAAAAAGTACATAAGATTGTCAAAACAATTTATATTTTAAAATAAAAAAACCTCCAAAACAACCTATATTTTGAAACGAAGAGAGTATATATATAGGCGAAACGGTTTATTTTGAAAAAACGTAACCCTTAAAATAACTATAAAGAGGTTATGTCGAAAAAACGTAACTCTTGACAAAACGGTTATTTCGGAAAGACACAAGTTTTGACAAAACAGTTATATCGAGAAGATGAAATTTTTAGAAATAACTACCAAACGGTTTTTTTTACGAAAAGACACAACTTTTCAAAAAGATGCACCCTTAAAAACAACCACTATATATAAATCGAGAAGTCACACCCCAAAAATATTTTTTTTTTGGTTTGCTATTATATATAGATAGGATATAAAACTTCCAACATTTTATTTTCTCCAACTTAAACATCTAACTTTTTATTTTTTCAAAATAAATCTTGAACTTTCATGTTTTCCAATTCAAACATCTAATTTATTGCATTTTCAAAACAAACCTCCAACTCAATTATTCTTCCGAAATAAATCTCTACAACAACTCCATTAAACACTTTTAATGTTTGTTTGCTTTTAACGATGAGAGATAATGTAACGCCCGTGAACCAAAAAGTGATTTTTGGTTGGTGCGTCGATCGACACAGGGTGAGTGTGTCGATCGACACACATGTTTTTGGACTTGTGAGAAGTCGTGTTCTGGGCGTTGTGTCGATCAACACAAGGCTGTGTGTCGATCAACACATGCTGAAATTGGACCGATGGGTTTGGTTCCAATTGCTCGGTTTGACAGGCCGGTTTAGGGAAGCCCTAGGGCTTTGGTATAAAATGGGCTGGGACGCGTTTGGTCGTCTTTTCAGTTTCCAGAAAGTTTCGAGAGAGTTTGAGGGAGGATTTGTAAGAAAAGAAAGTATCATTGTTGATTTCTTAGAGTTCTTGATCCTAATAGCCTGTTAGTGTGATTGTGAGTCTCTGGAAATCGTTTCTGGAGGACGTTGATCGCAATTTGGGTGAGATTTTGGATTGGAGATCCGTGTTCTTCGCTGTTCTTCGTCGTTTTTCATATTTTTCATACCAGAACCAAGGTGAGTGCATGATCATGGCTTATCTAGGTAAAGAAATTGATAGGATGCGATTGATTTTCCCATGTTCACATGAACTTGTTCAAAGGTACCAACTATTCCGTCATTTTCCCATGAAAAATTTTCCTCAGAATGATGACTGCAAATCTTGCAATAAGCCCATCTCTACTTGATAGCTTAATATACTACATGCACGACTACATGTTCTATACCAAATCATAGAGATCAAATTTCACCATAATATATCTTTTCCAATCCTTTGGACGTGCTTTATTATCCATTAGGCTCATCTCGAATGTGAACATAATCTTATTTATGTTCAATCTCGACATAGAGTAAGTGATAAACTTTAAGATGCGAAATCAACAAAAGTGATCAAGTTTTGGGATATAAGCTCACCAAAGTTATCAACTTACTTGTGGGATTATTTAATTCTCCCCCTCGAGATAATAACTCTTTTACTTCATTATCTCGTACGAAATCACACTTTAAGTTCAATAACATATTCATCTTGGATCATGTGTTTTATCTCCGATCCCTTAAACTTTCAATACTAGATTTCTTAATACACTCTTCAAGATAATGGAACTTCTGGCCCATTTATCTGAACCGTATCTTGCTTTTAGATTGGTTACATACGATGTAATTCTGGAGATTAAAGAACTCAACAACCATATCCAATGAGATCTTTTGATATATGGTGACTCATTTATGAATCTCTTATGATGGCCTTATTTTTGCTTAAGATATGCTACATGAAACCTTCTGCTATTCACATGAATTTTCAAGGATCCTTTATATCATTGCTAAGTCTGGACAGCATAATCACTCATAATTTTTTTCTTAAATCACGTAGTAAATTTCTGGTTTACTATCATACCAATTCAGTAAACTTCAGGTTTACTATACATTTTGCCATCCTTATTCTTTGTATGTATACGACTATATACAAGCATGTCTCAGCCATATGCTCTTCCAGAGCATTCGTTTTTCTAGAGCGTTTGCACTGTTCAATATTATTTTAATACGTGCATCATAAATTCTTTGAATTTATTTTACTTTGAATTCTAAATTCAAATAAACATGATAAATAATTGAGCATAAAAACATCATAATTTAAAACAGATATCTCAGGAGGCAGAGCTTTCCATTTAATTTGC